TAAGGAAAGTATCTCTCGTCTTTCTCTGGCCAATATTTATATACATGTTAATAATAAATCATGTAGTATTTTTTTAGTAATTACTACAACAACACCCACCAATAATAATAATAATAATTAATAATTAAAGATGAGGCAAAAAATATATACTGAAATGGATATAAGAATAATTAAAATGGAAAATGTATATATATATATATATCAAAATCATGGCATATATTGCAACCTATGAATTATATTTATTCACAATTCAAATATTTATAGGTTAATGTTTTTTTTTTTTTGGGGGGGGTAAGGAATATAATAATTGAATAGAAAATGAAGCCTGAAATTGATTATAAACTAAAGTTGGATAATTTTTGTTATAATGGCCAGACAGCTTTGGGGTGAGGAAGGATCGGGATGTTCTTCCTTTGCATTTGATGTGATACAATATATATATATATATATATATATATATATACACACACACACAATATATATATATTGCATGATATGATGAATCTAAAGATAGACCCGCGTTTTTATTTGTCCTCTACGATACATATAATAAACTATATATGATTCCACTTATAATTCAGCAAAAAGAAAGAAGGTATTTTTAGCTAATTATACCAAAAGTGTTTAACTATACCATTAGTAGGTTCATTTCTGAACTAAAATTGTACCATCTCCTAATATTTCTAATATGAGATTGTGTCATGATGCGTGTATATATGTCATATAATTTATTGAACGTATCTATTTTTACTTAAAAATATTATTACAATTATACTAAATAACTAACAATTCTTAGATTTTTTAGTTGCAAAAACAATATTTTTCTTTCTTTTAGATTTCTTTAATATGTGATATAAAATTCTTCGTTATATGACACACAATTCATATTACTATACCCTTTTTTATGAAAATAAATGTGAGATATCATTAAAACTATTAGTACAGCATAAAAAGAAGTAATAAATGAATCTTGGTATGGATTATCTGAACCCTAATTTGTCAACAAGAGGTAGGAAAGCAAAAGAAAAAATAGAATTAGTCATGGTATTCAAATAATCTATTAATGAAAAGAAATAAAATATTATCGAATAATTAAATAATCTAATATTTAAAATTTTGATATTTAATGTATGAATATGCAGTAGGACTGTCCAAAGACTGGAGAAAATTTAAACTGAAACTCTCTTACCATAATAAAACCATCATCAAGTATTTTTTCCTTGGGTAATATGTGATCTAGAGAGCTTGTGACTAAGAGTATAGTACTAAAGAAATTGAGTTCATACTAATAGTCGCAACAAAAATACTCAAAACCATGGATATTGAATATTAGCAATCTCAAAGATTGACCTCAATATATGAATAAGAAGGAGGGGTCTTTTGGGGCTCGTTGTAGGCAAATTCAACCTTTTTTCTAGCATTTATATTTACCAGAGCCATTATCTCCTTATAACAAAATCCAACCATACACAACATCTGTCGAGGAGTAAACTTTAAAAAAAAAAAAAAAACTAAACAAAAAAATTTTAGGTTCACCAAATACTCCATACGCTCAAGGCTATTAATTCACAAGTGGTCTTACTATAGTAATTTTGAGAAGTCATATCATCAGTTCCTTAATATAAAGTGAGTATATATGTAATACAAGGTCACTACACTATCCTTTTGTAATTGAGAAGTATAGTACATGCTCTATTATCTTATATTCATTCCTGCATCTATAGCATACTAGTGCCATTAACAACACTCACTGGCATGTTTCTTTAGTTAAGGGTATCTACATGTCCACATGATTCATAAGGGTAAACAAAGCTTTAAAATATGCAAGAAATGACTTAGTAATGTATTTATTCTTTATTACCCACTCATTTTTCATATTTTAGTTTTTTTAATAAAATTCTCTGATCTCTTGTTATTATTTTAAAATAATCCATAATTTGATTCTTCTTTTTCTCTTCATCTTTTGGCACCAACCCTCGAACATGGGACCATGGATTAAGTTATAACTCAACCAGCAAGGCACCACATGAGGATTTATAGAAAAAATCCACATTTTATTTCCTATTCCTTGTATAATTTGATCTCGTCCTTGAGTTGACATCAAATTTTTTCTTCTAACCTATTCATCAATATATTATTTAATAATGTCGCGAGGTAACCCAATTCATATAAATCACAAATGAAAAGAGCCTATATTGAATAGATCCAAGCATTGAAGTTATAGAAATATTATTTAATATTTCCATAGAGCATGATTTAGTTGAAGTTCTAATTGATTTTCAATCAAAATGGACCTTAAAAGAGACCAAATTTTATGTTTATTAAATTTTTTCAAGCCATCCATAGATCACTATGGACATTCATGGTAATTCCTTTGATATTTAAACTAAGGCATACATGTGATAGAAGAATATATAATCCTCGCCACATTAAGGTAAGCCACATTTTTTTTTTTTGGCCAAACCCGTCATACCAAATGCCAAAACTACATTAAAATCAAATTTGGTGTCAAACAAATTCCATCTCCTATGCAGATAACCTCATTTACATTAAGAAAACTACTAAGAGAACTTAAAGAGCCAGCAATTGCCACAAAGAACAAATTGTCACCCACGATAGTTCCATACGAAACAACTAATTGCTTTAAAAAATGTTGTATATAAATCATCATTGGTCAAGAAACAAAATGCTCCAAGAAAATATGTTATAGCTTACCAACTTTTATCAAATTAGTTTTACAAAAGAGTAATTTTATCTTAAGGTAATGAGTATTTTTTTTTTGGTTTCACCAATTCAAAATATGGGAAAAAAACACAATGAGGTTGAGAAAGCTTTTTCTATAACAGATTGAAGGGAGCTCATCAAGAGTGTCAGTTATAGCTATTTTTTAAATGTTACTAGAATACACTTGTTTAAAAATTTTGAGGTGAACTAGATTTGGTTGGGATGAACTTAATTTTTAAATAATCGGGGTTATGATTGGTAATGATATGTTGATGTGAGGATTCATTGCCAATGCATTTTTAATAGGTGAAAGGTTTATCTTCATATTAGCGTTTCCTGTTAGGTGTATTCCAAAAGTTGAATTACAATAGAAAAAAAAAATTCATAGATTTTAATTTGGGATAGGCTATACAGAGAGCACTGGATCATGCTTGAGATATATATTGAAAAAGTGATGCACAGTAATGAGTTCAATTAGTTTAGGCTCATCTTAGGTTTGCTTTTGTAGAGGAATTAGGTCATTAAATTGCAAAGGAACGATGCTAAAAAGTGTGAAAAGTAGAAGAGACTATAATTGATAGCAATCTTAAAGTAGCAAAGACGCGATAAAGACAAAGATGAGTGGTTGTGTCAAAGATACAATGAAAACAAATATGAGCAATGTGTTGAATGGCACAGAGGTTTGATGAAGACGAAGATGAGTGGGTTCGATGAAAACGAAGATGAGTGGGTTCGACAAAGACATTATGGAGCTCCAGAGTTACAGAGCCTATTGAGCCAACCTTGTTTAGTTCGAAGTAAGTTAAAACTCATAACGATCTCCAATGGACTAGGTAATTTTAATGGGTTACAAGTTTTTCTGTCATTCCTACTACTCATAAACCCTATTACATCAGCCTATATAAGAACTACTAAATGACTAGGTTACTCAAAATCCATCAATAAAATCAAGAACAAGTAACCCTTTTATATGATGGAAAGGAAAGACTTGACCGGTAAAAAAGAAATTCCATGACACAACTTTATATTTGGTTAAAAATTATTTTATTTTAATTAAATTCTTTAATTATAATTACATAATATATATAAAAATTAATCATAATTTACATATTCAGAATCACGTATTTATATTCTACTCCTCGATAAATATTAAATCACAAAAACACATCATTCGAATTAAAATTCAACTTCTCGAGGAGAAGACTTGTGACCTCCCACAAGGAGAGACTTTCTTTTTCCTCAACTAAATTTATTAATTAGAAAATAAAAAAGAAAGACAAGGTTAACAATTAATTATTACAAAGAGATGAGGTTGTGATGTTTGTATGGGAAAAAATAGAAAAATAAAAATTATATGTATTTGAGTTGGAAGGTATAATCTACTCCATTCATGCATGTCTATCAAATCAAACTCCGCGACAATACGTACGTACGTACACGAAATTACGTGGGAATAGTTTTAAAAGTACTTTTTTATAAATTAATAATAAATTCCTCTGAAGTCATTAGTTCTATTTTTAAAAAGGAAAATCAAATTAATTAGCTAGATAAGAAATATTATAAAGACCTGACTCTTTCCCAAATAACCTAAGTGGTTAACATTTTAATTCCAATAATTATATTCATATATATATATATATTTTTTAATATAATACAATAAAATTTTTAATTTTTCTCCACTTTAAGAAAATACTGAAAAAAGAAAATTAAAAAGCGAGAGAGAGAGAGAGAGAGAGAGAGGAAACAATTCTCATGCCATCCCCTTGTGATCTTCTGCAACGAATATAATCAATTTTTCATTTTGTTCTTGTTTTCCCTTCCATCAGTTTTCTCAATCCAAACAGTGTTCGTTTTTATAACACATTCACTCTATAATCAGACTACTAATAGCAATCATTCTTGATCAATATGTAGAAAATCATGGATAAACTCATCAAGATATTTTGGATGGTTTAAGTCCTGCAACTACTTGCGAAAAGAAACGTATTAGAAAGCAAGCATAAAAGATCATCATCTTCAAGGCATTAAATACACATATACAATATGATCCGATGAACATATATGTATTTAATCGAGAGAGAGGGAGAGAGCTGCTAGTAGTGTGTGTGTGTGTGTGTGTGTGGTGTGCATATATATGTATGTGTAAAGTTGAAAACTTTGCTTGTATTAACTTATATGGTTATACACAAGACTGTAATGTCTAATATCTCTCCACATCAAAGAGGGAGATGAAAGAAATAATAATATAATTAGAACTTAAATCTCTCAGGAAGCTAGAAACCCAGAAAGAGCACCCACTGACTTAGATTTTAAATCTCCTTTGATCATAATAGATCAGTAATATAAAAGGAGAAATATGTAAACCACAACATACTTCCCATTACACTTTTCTAACACCAAAACATTGTCAACCAAAAATTAGAAGAAAAAAAGAATTAACCCAACAATCCCATGTACACCAGACTTCCTCCATTGATAATTTCTGTTTAAACAGGAAAAGAAAAATTAAAAAGCAAAGTCACCTGTCTGATCGATGTTCCAAAAAGCAAAAATCTAATGATCAGTAATATATGGCGTGGGGGGGTCATGGGGATGATCTCCAACTCTGTAAGCCAATATCGTTGTGCTTCCTTGAAGGACCAGAAGTTGGAATGGGAAAGTGTCTGGGCAAGAAGCCCAAGAAGTGGCCTGTATTATGAGCTGGCTTCACTTTGAAAACGCTGGTGTTGAGGGTTCTTGAGCCATGGCAGTGACCCAGGAGGAAGATGAAGATCAGTAAGATAAACAACAGAAGCGGTAGAAGAAGAGGTCTTCTACATATGGCCATGGATGATCGTCGCAAGATTTTGAGATAAGAGGAGAGAGAGTAGTGGGTGGTATTAGAAGGTATTCTTGAGAAAGAAAAAGGTGGTAAGAGCAGGAAACATGAGAAAATTGTATGGTGAATCGTGTGTATGAATAATGAGATTGAGCAAGTTGGGTTCGTGTAATCTGAAGAGAGAGAAAAGAGATTTTGAAAGAAAATCAGATGCTTCTACAAATAGTAGTAGGTAGTAAATGTCGAAGAAGCAGAAAGTTAAAAAGGGTTTGAATGAAAGCTTCTTCTTTGAATAAGTCTTCTTTAAAAAACAAAATGAAATGATAAATAATGTTTGAAATTAAAGAAAGAAAGAAGAAGAAGAAAAAGAGATGGGAAGAGGAAGAAGAAGAAGAAGAAAAAAAAAAAAACAAAGTAAAGGGTTGTAATGTAAGGTCATCTTTTTTTCTGGGTTAGGTGAGTGTTTGGTCCCACTCTGAATTAATGGCCGACTAACTCTTGAGCATTTCTAAACTAGTCTTCCCGGATTACTCCTCCATGCCTTCCTCTCCTGCTCTTGGGGGTCTGATTTGATGCATTTCTACTCAATATAATATATATGTATTTTCATTATATATGTGTATATACAGGTTTACCCACAATATATAAACTAATTAGTAAAGTACCCTTTTTATATTTTGTGGGTTTGCAGTGTCAGTGTACGTTTTCACTTCCTAGCCTCAATCCATCTATACTGTTTGGACTATCAATACCTTCCACTGTTTCTCTTTTTCGCTGCACAAATACATATATACAGATTCACTGTTTCTCACATACAACAATTATTTATATAAGAAAAAGTATATATTTGTAATGAATCATGAAAGGGTAATTAATTAATGAGAGGTGGAAAGTGTGGAAGCAGTTGAGGAAGATGACGCAGGGTTTTCTAAAAATGAATATGCGGAGTTCAAGAAACAGAGTATGTATGTGTGTTGCTAAAATTGAAATGGTCATAAAAATTTATAAAACCTATCTTCTCTCTGACACAATTCACTTTTCTTACAAACATGGCTTTCCCCCATTCCCTTCCTATGCTATTGCTACCTATTTGACACCTACTTTTTTGCTGTTTTCTTTCTCTCCCTCTCTCTATATATACACATATAATTATGTACATGACATCCATTAATCACACTTAAATTAACTAGTTAGAAGATTATTATAAAACCCAGGTTTCAGATCTTGACTAAAAGCAAAAGGGTAATTGTTTAAAGTGAAAATCTTGGGTGACTCACAAATGGATTATCAGAAAAGAAGGTAATTAAAGAGGAATGGGGTATTGAAGAAGTGTTGGGGTAATTAGGTTAAGTAAAAAAAAAAAAGGGGGGGAGGAATTTAGAGTAGAGAAATGGTGTATTTGTTTATGGTGTTAACCAAAAAACCAAGTAGACAAAAGGTGATACAACTTTTATGTACAGTTCAGTTGACAAGACCCAATTCTTGGGGCATCAAGTAAAGTCTGTCTAAGATTTTGCCCCACCCTGATTTGAAAGTAGAATGCTAGGCTATTGGGATTGGACCCACTTTGGAAATAAACAATATATATATATACATATATATGAACCCATATAAACATATTTAGCTGTTGTATCACATGGATTTTCTTTTTTCCTTCTTTCTTTAGCTTTTCTGATCTGTAAATCTCC